CAGCTCTAGTAGTTTCAGAATTCTGGGAACTTTGATCTGTAAAACTAATTGAATTTGTAAATATTTTAGATAATGGAAGTCTTTTTATTGCCCTAAACACATTCAACATTGGCATGTTTTTAAACATTGTAACATTGTAAAGCGCTTTGGGTGAACTTGGTCTCTAAAAATACGCTATATAGATACAGATTACTTACGTACTTGCTTACTTTTTGCTGTTTTTTGTATTCAAATGAACGCTTGGGCCTCTGCGATAGCTCATGAGGTCACCGCTGCAGCTCTGCCATCTGACTTTTCAGCGTTTTTAAATATATCCGTCTGTTCTTTTCTTTGTGTCGGGGAACGATCGCTGACAGGCTGAGGCTTTGTGATGACATTGTTCTGCTCTCGTCTGCGTCGTCACCTCCACTCAGAAATATCCTCAAAGCAAAAGTCTATTTCCTCTGCTTCACGCTTTTATTGACTGTCAACGGAGCCATCCTGTCACTTAAGATGATTTCATTTGGCACGCGCCTCCTTTGTTAATCGGCTTCTCTAATGCATCCTGCTTTCAGAGTAGTTTCTGATTACTGTAGATTAAAAACATGTAATTTACTATGCTCAAGTCATTTGTACTTTTCAGCTTGAGACTTTTTTATGTAATATAGGTACTCCAAAACATTGGGAAGCGTTTTGTGTGACCTTGGTTGCAATATAAATAAAGATTACTTACTTATTAAGTTACCTTCTTACTACTGAGGTTTATTGTAAGTCCTGTTTTTGTCTGTCAAGATATTTGCAGCTTAGACTTTACACCGGGACAATAAGTCATATTTGTTTTATACACATATGTTATCTTTCCTTTGTCTACCCGGTTCTAAAATCATAAAAAATACTAATTAGAAAAGGACTTATAGAGCACAGATCTCAGCAAAGAGGCGTAGTTCTATTCGGTAAAAAAAAAAATCCTGGATCCAAACTGGGCCTCGAATCACCTCCAAAATCTAATAATTTGTTCCATTGTCTTCTTTCCATAAGCTTTCCTGAAAATGTCATATAACATTTTGAGTCATAGTGCAAACTATCTACATGTAACAGACAAACAAACAACACCTGGCAGAAACACAACCTCATTGTTGGAGGTAATGAAATGATTATCAAGATGCAGAAAACTATGTTATAAAGACAGAATGTGCGTTGTTCTTTGGTCTACTGTATAATTGTGAACTCAGACTTACATAAGAAGTAAGTATTTGATAAAATATTAATCTGAATATCAAACTAAAATCATTGCCAAAGGAAACAAGAGACAAATGTAATGAAGTCTGACAAATGCAGTGGATTTTTCTTTCATTCGTTCCAAAATGCCTGTAGTTTGCTGCCCAATCATTTATGCATGACAAATTAGGAAAAGCAAAAAAAAACAATCCACACTGTAACTCAAGAACCCTGTGTAGAGGGGGTAAACGGGGAATTATCTGGGCAATGGAGCTTGGGTTTAAACTACTACAAAAGCAACAAGAAAAAGGGAAAACCTTCTTTAAACTTATTGTCACTGTGTCATAGTATGCAGGATAGGATAGGATACAACTGCAGTTGTATCCTTTTTTCTAGTAACATGTTTCTGGATTCTTAAGCTGTGTTCACACCGCTGCAGCATGGCCGCGCGTTGATGGATGCAAGGACAGGTGTCCACTGAATTTCAGCAGCATTTGTTTAGAAAATCTGCTGTGCTGCCCTGTGAAGCAGGGCGGAAGTGGTGGGCGGGTTTTGATGCTAACCGTTAAGCTAGCAGCTTTATGTATATAGTTCTCCTCCATGAGTGCAGATCCGCAATGTCTCTGTGTCCCAGGACCCTCCAGAAATATCATATTACAGCAGTATCTGCAGCGCCATGGATGTATGATGTTATTATTTGGTACTTCCGTGTCTGCAAACTCGTTAGAAGCACTTGTTTACACTCACGACAGAATGAGAACTCAGGCTGGAGGCATATGTTCTCAAGCACTGTTGTGTCCCCTGTTGTCAGTTCTGGTGTAACCCTGGTTTAGTCCTGGTTTAATCCTGGTTTGGCTCTAGATTTGCGCGTTTTCGTGTGTCGTCTTCTTGCTCTGACCGGTTTTTGTCCTCATGACCCCTTTGCTGCTCTCTCATGGGTTGCCACACGGATGTCAGGTGGAAAAAGTTCAACAATATTCATCTCCTGCGTTTGCTGGATGCGTCATGTCGTCGTTCCCACTGCCTCTGCCGCGTTGCAGCAACGCATGGTCTGTTGTTGTGGCGCAGCAGAGATCTTTGAGAGACTAGAAAAAGAGATTAGAGGGAGGCCAGAGAAAGATCAGAGAGGCCAGAGAGACACTTTGAGAGAGATAGAGACCAGAGATGGGCCAGAAAGAGGCCCGAGAGACTCTATAGCAGGGATGTCAAAGTTAAATACATCAGAGGCCAAAAAACCAATTTGCCAAGGGCCGGACTGGTTTAATGTTAACATATTAAAATGATTGAATAAAACCTATTGAAGCAAGGCTCACCTTACACAGTGAGCCGTATTTTATTAAATGAATAATCCAATATTTCTGTGGCTCTATCAGTCATTACAAGTGAAAACATTTGTCAACAGGCTCAAAAACAAACTTCCTTCAAAGGGAAAACAAATGCCCTGAATATTAAATTAATAATCCAATATTTTCTTATGGTTCTGCGCAGCTGGTTCTAATACTAATCAAATATCATTCGGGGGCCAAGATAATTCATTCGTGGGACGGATCTGGTCCCCGGGCCTTGCTTTTGACACCCATGCTCTATAGAGACCAGAGAGACACTAGAGACAGAGAGAGGCCATAGAGGTCAGAGAAAGAGACCAGAGAGAGTCCTCTGAACTTTGATAGTTGCTACAAATCTAATCCCCATATCCATACATGCCTGTGAACTGGAGGTGACATCAGCGGGCATTGCTCTGCTCTCACTCTGTCACAGTGGGTGATCCTCTCGTCTTGCTCTGCGTAGGCTGTAGTTGCCCGTGACTTTCTTTCACATGATTGGAAGATGCTCACTACCTCTTACGTACGCAGGTCTGGCGCGCTCATTGGCCCTTCAGCGCACGCTCGCACAGACACATGGTTGCAGTTTATGCTCCCTACCCCACAATCTGCTTCATGTGGAACCAGTTGTTTAGGCCCAAAGAGACGGGGTCCCGGCACAAACAGGATGTCTAGAGGTGTTTGTCGAGATACAGTCCCGAAGCACAAAAGCGTGATGGAGTTTGGTGTGTAGTGTTTGGAATATGAGATCGTAAACAGCTGAAGAAATACGCTCATTTCGGGAAGGGAATGCGTGGCTTCGAGTAGTGACAGGTGATAATGGATGTGTTTCACTGCAGTTTTGTTATCCGTGACTCATGATGCGTGTGGGCATTGTTTATGTGGATATTCACCAAAAGAGTTTTTCCAGAGTCCTGTGTTGAGAGAGCTGCTCTGGACGACTTTTACATCATGGATTGAGAGTGGAAGAGCAGTTAGGAGGTTGTAGGTGCGTTGCAATAGCTCACATCATCTCTAAAAGCATTACCAGGGTTAGTTTAGTTTAAATCAAAAACAATTAGGCATTTAGAGCTGTGGTATACATTATTTAATCCTCCTGGAGATACTCTACTACTACTATTTGTGGAAAAAGAGTCCCTATAACCATGACATCTTGAGTCAGTATAGTTTTTACTGCGTCCAATTTGGTGTAGTCACATAAGCGTGTATGTCACTGAAATAAGATTTAATAATAATAATAATATAGAAAGTGCTTTTCCTGCTATATTTTTTAAAATGTATAACGCTTATGGCTTATTATGTATTATATAAACATGAGAGATTAGTTTCCACCGTCCATATTCAGTCAGTTGGTAAAAACAGTGGGCGTGACGTGGGGTCAATGGAGCAATGGTTGGAGAATATAAGTCATTTCAAATTTGTCAACTGTGTGTATAATGAGCAGCTACTGTTCTAAATACATCGTTTTCATGTTTTAGTTGTAATTTCACAGATGGGTAGTAAAGACACAAAATGGATGTATTAAACAACAAATGATATACATACATACAGTACACACACGTAGAAACGATTGGAGGAAAGCTGGGCCCAGTCTGATTAACATGGTTTGTAGACAGAGAGCGAGTCTGAGAGCCACACAAACGTTACAGCAGCTGTCTGTCACACAGCATTACAAGTGTCAAGTGAATTGATTGGTCAATTCACAGTACAAACTGTATTTGGAGGCCCCAAGTATGCATGCAGACCTCCTCCTGACGTGAAGACCACTTATAACAGGACCAAAGGTGCCTGAGGCAGAGACCTCACAGCGGGGGAACCACACTAATGCAAAGGACGAAACCATAACTTCTAAGTTACAGATGCAATGTCCACAGGGGTTTAAACCTTAATCTTTCAATTCTCTAATGGTTCTATGAACTGTAACTGTGACATTACATTAAATTAGTTTTAGTACATGTTTTTGTGGTAGGGGAATATATTTGCATGAAGCACAAAACAATGATGAGTATGTAAATAACGAGGGATAACAGCTATTATTTAGTCACAGGCTGTAAAAAGGGGATTTTGCTTGTTGAGTCTCCAGTTAAAAGCTTGAGTTATCATAACTTTCCTTTTTGACTGAAAAATCAAATAAGCGTTGGGCAGATGAATGAACACATACCTTTCTCTAGCAGTCAACATGTTGTCTCGTCGTGTTTTTATACCTTGCTTACTAGAACATCCAGACTTTGTTAACATGCAATTTGAAAAACCATAAACAAATGAACACATCTTTCACACTGACAGCAGCAAATACAGCATGATGGATTTAACAAATGAAACAGATGAAGGACAAAAACATTCCTCCCCAGAGCAGTTGCAAACACGGGTCAAGCTCTTTCCCATCTCCTGTGACGGCTGCAGCCTGTTGCTTCCTCTGCCCATTCCTCTGTGGGACCATCATCCAAGTGATGTCCTGACCATCTTTCTCTTTTTCTTCAGACGTGGCCGTGGGATGTCCCTTCGGAGGAGACGACAGAGGAGGACGGGTCTTTATCTTCAATGGGAACAAAGACGCTGCGTCGCAGGGTCTGAGCGTGAGCCAAGAGCTGAGGTCCAGGGCGCCTGGTTCAGGCCTGTCTGGCTTTGGCTTCACTCTGCGCGGAGGCCAAGACCTGGACAAGAATCAGTATCCTGGTAAATACCACTATGAAAGCTTGTTTGTATTTCTATCACACATTTCACCTGATCAGACTACTAAATACTTGCAAGCAAACATTTTAGCATAAGAGCAAACATGAATCTTTAGTTGAGGTGTAATGATACTAATAAGCTACAAAATGTAATGAAAAATAAGTTAGAAATTGCTCAAATTTAAAATATATCACAATTTGAGTACATTTTGACTGCCTTAAAACAAGATGTCACATGGGGACAATGTTATAAAAATATACAAGAAATGTTTCCATTGGAATAAGAAAATAAAGCAACAGTTCTTGACTAAATGACTTTGTCCCATTGGCAAATTTTGTTTTAAGACAGTCAGAATGTGCTCAAATTAAGATGAAAAACACTCGATCCAAGCAATTGTTACCTCATATTTCATCATGTTTGCATTGTAGACAGAGAGAAAAAACAACTTGGAATAGACTCAACCCCACAACCTTTCCAATATTCTAAACACATTAAATACAATTTAAGCACAATTCTCTTTGTAACTTTTTGCGATACTTTGTAACGCAGCACAATGTCTAGAGTCAAAAACGACTTTATTTGAAATAACAGAGATCTTCATTTTGAAAATTTGTCAAAAAGTGTATTCCTCTTGCTAGAGTCTTCAACATGTTTTGTTATTGGCAAGTACATTTGAAAGGTATTTCTGAAAAAGGGGTAAAACCGTATTTTTATGGCAGTATTAAGCTGGCATTTCAAAAATGACTCGGTAAAGGGCAAATTGTAAGCCTTTCCAATATTTTTCTCACGACATTTATCTGTGACTATTCAATTGTTGAAGGAATTTGTCCTCTCACTCCACACACGGTGATGGAAGTGGCGGTGGTCATACAGGAGGCACACGTTTTTGCAGTGGTAGGGGAAAACAGCAGCACCTGGAGGAAACCTTCACAGAACGTGCAAACGTCACATAGAAAGGCTCTGTTTTCTTGCCGTGAATCACAAGTCTAAACTCTTCTTCAAACCATGAGCTTTCTTTCTGAGGATTAGCAGTAGATTTTCTGTTAAAGACGCCAGCATGATTGATCGATTTTCACAGCTTTAACCTGTATCATTAAGAGCACACACACACACACACACACACACGTTTAGTTAAAACACATTCAGACGAAAAGAAAATCCACAAATGTTCAAACCATGGACTTTGCACATTCCTTCAGTCCAGCACATCTTATTACAGTCTTAAAACATTTCTCAAAACCTCCCTTTGTCTGTTCAAGTCATCAGGCCCAAAGGGTGTAGGAAAGAGCGCCAATGAGCCGACGCTACGTCCATTCTCTGGAGATTTATATTCCTCAAGAAAAGGCCAAATAATAGATTGTCCTTATGTTCGTAGTCTGGCAGATTCAGAAGCCTAAAAACCATATCCCCTCAGCGACGCAGACAAAAGCCAACTTTCAAATGTTATTACTCTTTGCATTACACCACCTACTGACTTTTCCACACACCTCTGCCTTCTGATTTTACACTATATTACCCGGACATGCCCTTAGCACGCAGTCCACAAGCCCATCTTAATATGTGTGATGCGGTGTAGGCCCCCAGAGAACTGACATCTTAAAAAGTACATTGGAAAACTATAGGAGGCATGTGTAACCACTTTTACTGCCTCTTTTTCCATAGCAAGCATCCACCATCTATTACAAGGGCTTTGTTTCCGCACCGAGGAGATAAATTGGATGTTTTAATGAATTATTTCCCTGTGGCCCCAAGCCTGCTCTGCAACCAAGGCTGAAATGTAGTTTAATGTATGAGGCTTTCAGTGGAAGGAGCGGAGTGGGTATTTTTGTGTTGGAGAAAATGGTCTGTTTATTTTGTATATATATTTATGGATTGAGACAAATTTAAAGCTTTTTTACTTAATTTTCAAGAACAATGTCGTAGTTGTTTATACGTTTTCAAAACTTGTAACTTGTGAGTGAAGGAGGAGAGTGGTGCTTGTCCCATTGACTATGCATCTTCCCGTGCACCCACCACCTGCAGGAGAATCAGCGAGGGACAGGTGCAATGAGACTTGGGTGGCAGCTCTGATTGCCACCCCCCCCCCTCAACCCAGAAATGGATTAATAAAGGGGTAGATAATGACCCAATGACATGACATTGACGATGTACTGTACTGTTGGTATGTTATGCTTTGATCATTATGTGTCAACAATGCAAAATCCCTCTTCATTAAGTCATGTTGTGAGCACATTAAAAAAAGTGATGAAATAGAAGTCACAAATTGCTCAAATTTGGCTAAATGTTCTTAGTTTGAGAACATTTTGACTCCCTTAATTTCACAAGAAAAAATTATCTTGGAAATATACAAGAAATGTCTCCCTTGGAATGGGAGAAAAATACATCTCCATCAGCTTTGTTTTATCAATTTTGTTTAGTTTTAAATTACAACATAAAAACCTGACCTTATATTGTGCAGTAGTACTGTATCTACTGTATAACCTTTTTTTGCACACCCCTTCCTACTTCCATGCGTCAAAGAAATTGTTTAACTTTTTTACTCCAATTTCCTTAGAATATCACATTAAGGATACAATTAGAAACGGATGCTTGTTAATTACCAAAGTGAGCCTCGACACTTCCCACCACTGTCCAATGGAAATCCTTTAGTTGCGTCTGTCACATTAGAACCCATAGTGGTAATGGAGTATTACAGGCTGGCGGTGTTATATTTGGGATTTTTGTTGAGGAAGCCCGGTGAAAAGTCCGGGGCGGCTCACACGGGGAGTGCTCCGTCTGTCATTACGGAGCAACGGAAGTGCGAGTCGCGCGCCTGCTGTGTCATTACCACGGCAGTAAAGTCACACTGTTCAAAGGGAGAGCGTGGTTTGATCAGTGCCCCATGAAAGAGCTCACGTCTGGGGCCTGCTAGTGCCACCAAATGCCCCTGTCAGCAGCCAATGTCATTACTACTGCTTCACGCACTCAAGAACCGCCTCCTGGTCTTAATAACCGCTGCGTTAGGGCTGCTTCTGTTTCCTGCTTCAAAAAGGGATATGAAGTGCTTGTTCCAATAAATATCTATGTACTAAAAAACTAGGTGTGTTATTATAAAAAAAAGTAACTAAACAGTGGCACTCAATATTTAAGACCTTATCTCACGCCCTCAAAATGGTTTGGATCTGTTTTTGTTGACTCTATCACAGCTCTAGACCAACTTTCAGAGGGAAAATTTACAAGTATTTTATGATACATTTTTTATGCTACAAAAACCGTTGCGCAACTACGTATCGCAACTTTAGAATTGTCTGTCAACCCAGTTTCCTTGGCATTCCTCTCCAGACTGTTGCTTATAATAATATCAATATCACAAAATGTTAGCCTTGCAGATATTGGAGGGGAACACAGACCACCACGGGGACTAACCAAAAGTCGAAGTCACAGGGAGATGTGTCCAGGACTGACCAGGACATGTGCAGAGCTGTGAGAGAGTTACCCAGACCAGAGATGTAGTGGTCTGAGGCGCAGAGATTTTATTTTTTTCGAAATTAAGTGAATAAAAGGATCAGTTATGTTTGATTCTCTGTGTATAGATGAAACACTGAAAATTGTGCTACTAATACTGTATATGACAAATCCATTACACGAGCAAGATAAATCAAGCCTTTTTTTTTGTTTTAATGTTGATATTTTGCTCACAGCTATAAAAAACCCAAATAAAACAATTTGACAATGGACTGGAAGCCATAGTGTCACAAACAATGGCTTGACACACTGTTACTGTACATGTATCTGTACATGTAGTCTACAGTATATCACATACTGGTTTCACACTTAAAATGTAATCACAGACGTAAATTAACTTTTGAGAAAATCACTCAGTGGCATATTCCTTTTGGTCCTATAGCTATTGCAGATCGGGGGGAGGGATGTTTAATATGTGTCATTTGGGTGTTTTTAAAATGTGTCAAACTCTTTTATTAGTCCCTTATTGAAGTACAAAAGCTCAAGATGCTTTGTGCCTGCTCTATGGTCCGGCTCTAAACAGACAAAGCAAAAGTTTAGGGCCACTCAATGGGACACACAAGACCCTGCATTTGGACTTATTGTATCCCAACAATAATTTGATACTAGTCATTTGATTCAATTCAATTCAATTTATTTTTGTATAGCTCTAAATCACAACAGTATTTATCTTGTAGGACTTAACAAAACCGTTGCTACGCCAACACAGATCAGAGAATCAAACAGTTCAAACAAATGAAATCCAAAGAGAAAAACACTTAGAGCCATGGAAATTTACCTAAAAAATTGGTCAAAATTTGCCTTGTTTAGAAGTTTTCTTTTTTGTAATTTTGGGAAATTTTTGAACTCCTGCTGTAACTTGTTTAGGTCGATAATGAGTTGGTGGAGAATTAAATTACTTGAAATGTATCACCTTCATATGTAACCCTGTGGATTCTGATGAGAGACCTGGAGTTTTTTGGTGTTTTTATCGTTATTTGGTTACTTTTGTGAATCAATCTTGTTTAGTGCCCACATGTCTCTCGTGGTCAAAATATTTCCCATTATTCAAGAAATTATAGCTCTGTTGCTGAAAAATACATCTTTTTGCATAAGCACATGATTCTGTCAGTTTGTCCAGTTCCAACCGTTTCTCCAGTCCAGCGTTGGGGAGAGTCGAGGTTTGGCAGTGTAGGAGTCAGATTTATTGCTCAGTGTAATGTTTTGTTTTAAAGTAGGACTTAAATTATGGGGCAAGACAAACTATATTAGCATGTGTCTGCCACTTAGATGAACGTAAACAATGTCCAGAGTAGTTTACATTTAAGTCCACTTAAACCAATTTGTATAAAGGCATGCCAGAGTAAAGCCCGTTTCATTTCCACTCCCGCTGAAAGCTCTTGACTCCCTTCAGACGAGAATGTACTGTATTATTTGGTTGGAAGTCAAAATAATGACAATAATCTCTCAAAGTTGCTTTTATTTTGATTTGAAATATTACTTGAACAAATATAAATCAT